CTGAACACCTGAAGCGTGACGGTGATGTCATCTGTGTGTAGAAGCTGTTGTGATAACTGAACACCTGAAGAGTGACGGTGATGTCACCTGTGTGTAGAAGCTGTTGTGATAACTGAACACCTGAAGAGTGACGGTGATGTCACCTGTGTGTAGAAGCTGTTGTGATAACTGTGTCTGGTGGAAGACTGACAGATGCTTGTGCTCATTCTGGTTAACTCATATTTGTTAAGTTAAAAAGTCAGGACTAACTTCCTCCTTTTCCACATATTTCTTGACTTTTGTCAACCTAAGTTTAAAGTATCTGCAAACATCTGGTTTATCAGACATAAAGCCTGAACTTCTGTTTCTGTTCAAGTTGTCATATTGATGATAATTAACTCAGACGTGTTGATTGTTGTTGATTTTAACTCTTTATAGGAAGTTTGATTGTCCACAATAAGCTGTTTATTAGTGATTTATTTTGATTCTGTAAATAAATGATCTTGTTTATTATTAGATCAAATCAAATTCACTGAGTCAGGTTCATCTTATTGTGTCTCATTGTTACACAGAGGGGTTGTTGTGATAATTYCCTCCTAACTTTAAGTTCTGAGAGTTCACAGCTCCTTACTCCTCATGTCTGCTGCTGCAGAGTGTCTGAAGTCCAGATGAATACATGAAGGTTCTGCATGTCTCAGCTCACAACTTCATTGTTGTCAGGCAGGATTCTGCATGCACACACAGATTTGAGACCAAGTATTGAATTCTGACAGTTTCTATACAGACGGTGTCAGAGGCAGACAGGAAATCCATGCCTGCTCCTCCCAGCAGTCTGCAGCAGCGGAGCAGTGTGGACGGCTCTGATTGGAGCAAACAGAGCCTCCATGACTTCAGTGTTTCACACACAKCTCCTGGTGCAGATCAGTTTATGACCAATCTATTGTTCCATTTTCTGCTCGTGTCCCCGGACTAAAGAGCATCACGGTGCAGCTGATGAAGAGGCAGCGCTGCTCATCACAGAGAGGAGGAAGAGGAGGATCATCACAAAGAGGAAACTGATTCCTCCTTCTCTTCTCATTTTATTCCACAGATTATTTACCTTTCATTCATGAAGCCAAACGTCTGTCTGCAGGACGGATGGACGGATGGATGGATGGATGGATGGATGGATGGATGGATGGATGGATGGATGGATGGATGGATGGATGGACAGCACTGAGACCACTGGGGACAAGTCAGAGACAGACCTTTCAGGACCACCCAGGTTACAAATAAAACCAGTTTCCCTCTAAATGAACTCAGAAACGTCTAAACTTTCATCAAAGTTTCAAACTCTGACTTCGTTCTGTTGGACGTGTCAAATAAAAATGAACAATTTCTCACAAACACAAACAATCTGTTTGGCTTTAAATACAAATCTTCACACAGAATGAATGAATGAATGAATGAATGAATGAATGAATGAATGAAGCTGACAGTAAAACCTCTCACTTCTACAAACTGAACAGATCTAAAGTGAACAGGTGAGCAGGTCAGGACGGCTGCACTTCCCACTGAACATGAACTAACTCCACCCAGCTGACCTGAGACAACATGAAGGACTGATCATCAGCTGCAGCTCAGCTGTGTCTGGAGCTACAGCTTGTCACTCAGCTGAGGAGGCGGAGCCTGAGGGGAGGGGCTTCCACAGGAGGAGACCTCCTTAAATCAGGAACGATCCAATCAGAGCTAAGTTCATGATGATCAGCTGGAAACAGCATGTTGGACTTTTCATCCTTTAATCCTGTTCAACCTGTTGAAATGAGCTTGTTTGTAACAAAAGTACAAAGAAAACATTTAATTCTTGTATTTATTCTTGTGTTTTTAGAGTTTCAGACTTTAACAAACTGATCACACCTGAAACAAACAGGATAAAATAATCAAATAAAAACCTGAGTCTGTCTTTAATCATATTTAAACTCTTAAAGGGATCCATGGTTATTTTTAACATTAAACATTATTTCATGAATATTTATATAGACTTTAGGGGTGCAATAAAACATGTATCTGTATGAATAAATACAGATTTTTAACATTTATTTTCTCAGCTTGTCTTCTGAAGATGCTCTGTGTTGAAGGATCAGTGGATCTGTGTTCGACTACTCCACCTAGGCTGCACTGTCGAGTGCAGATTCACTGAGAAACTTGCAACATTTAATTAAAAAACTGTACTTTTGCAGTTAAACAAATGTTCATAACTAATTTCAATGAATTATAAGTAAATAAGGGCATGGGGATTTCTCTT